CTCTAGTTGTGGTGAGCGGGGGCTACTCTTTGTTGCAGTGTGCGGGCTTCTCACTGCGGCCGCTTCTCTTGTTGCAGAGCACGGGCTCTAGGTGCGTGGGCTTCAGGAGTTGTGGCACGTGGGTTCAGTAGCTGTGGTGCACAGGCTTAGCTGCTCTGCGGTATGTGGGATCTTCCTGGACCCGGGCTGGAACCCGTGACCCCTGCATTGGCAGGTGGATTCTTAACCACTGCGCCACCAGGGAAGTCCCTGTCTTCATATTCTGATACCACTTATTCACTCCACATTTATTCTTCAAACAACTCCCTTTAGTTTTGGACCTGATACCTCCATAGAAACCATGACGAGGATCACAAATGACCCTCCAATGGATGGCTCAGCAGCAGACTGTTCACTACTTTGTCCTTCTGTTCTGGCTTCCACGACACCCCTCTCCTGGCATCCTACTTCCCCACTGGCTGCTGCTGCTTTTTAAACTTCCTATTCTTCCCTGTGACCTATAGATGTTGGTGCCAAGTCCTCTGCTTTTTCTTCTTCTTCTTCTTCCCCTTTATAATCTCATCCATTTTTATGGCTTTCAACACCATCTCTGTTCTGACAACTCATATTTATATCTGCAGCTCAAACATTTTTGAGCTCTAGACTTGCATTTCCAACAGCATATTTGACGTGCCCATGTGAATGGAATGTCTCTCATATACCCTGAACTAAGTGTCCCAAACAGAACTCAAATGCTTTCAAACCTGTCCTTATCTATCAAGTTTCCATCTTGGTAATTGGCATCACCATTTACCTTGTTGTTCAAGACATAAAACTCAGAGTGGTTCTTGATTTCCCCCTTTCTCCCACTGCCTCTCTTTCCCAATCCAATCCAGTGTCAAGCCCTGTTTCTTCAATTCCAATGATACTTAAAATTCACTTTTCCATCTCTGTTTCTGCTATTCTGACTTGGGCCATAAGTCATCGTAGCCCAGGCACCCACTACCTCTGAACTACCTTAAAGAACTTTCTAACTTCTTCCACTTCCACTTAATTTTCCATAGGCTGGTAGAGTTGTCTTTCGAAGATGTGTAATAATGTTGCCCTGCTTGTTCACTTTTTAGATCTTTTTTAGTTTCCTCAAAGCATTTTACATAATTTTATTTTATTGGTTTGTTTTTGCTGGTTGTGTTTGTCTCCACCACCAAGTTCCATGAAAGTAGGTGCCATGTTTCTCTCTCTAACCACACAAAGTACCAGCCTGATTTATCACTGGGACTCAAATAATCATTTATTAAGTATCCGATATTTGAAAAGAAGGAGAAAACAAGATAAAAAATGTATCCTGTTAGGTGGTGGTGAGTCCTAAAAAATATAAAGAAGGGAAGAGGATATGAAGAGTTGAGGAAGTGAAGCTTGCGATTTTTAAACTGGGTAGCTGGGTGACACTGAAGTAAAAACCTGAAGGACACAAAGGAATGAGAATACCGTCTGGAGAAAGGCATATTATGACATGCAAAGGCCCTAAGGAGGGAGCCCGCCCTGCATTTGAGCAAAGCAAGTGTGGAGGAGACCCAGGAACTGAGGAGAGAGAGTCAGAGGGCGGTGAGGTGGGGGTGGTCTCAGATCATGTTGGGCTCCAATGCCATAGTCAGGAATACTGGCTTTTAATCCAGGACTAGGAGTGACTGGAAAACTTTCAGAGGACACACATAGTGACTTCTGTTTTAACTGGACACTCTGGCTGGTATGTTCAGAATAGTCCAGGGAATACACGATGAGAATCTGGCTCAGGATGTTAGCAGTCGAGATTGCAGATTAAAATTGTCCTTAAAAGCCCGTACTGAAAAAGTACAGTTGACATCAGTGATGAAATAAAAATTTACATTTTAAGGCAAGACAAGAAATATTTACACATAGAACTTTTTCTCCGCCCTTTGGCCTCCTCCCTCCCCTCTAGATGTATCACGCATCTGCATTATGCATTAACCAGACCTCCTCAATGGCAGAAATACCTGCTCAACCATAGTGATCACTTTTTCTCCTTCTGGTACCAGCCACATAATTCCTTAGAAGATAACATTCCTTTTTCAATTCTGAAAGGTGTCACGGTGACCCACCACTAGCCTTGTCAGTGCAGACATCTCTGGTGAGCTTTATGTGCAATGCCAATATATCATTCCCCTTAAAGATAGAGATTGGTGCAGAACAGACTGGTCAGATGACCTGGGGAGATACCGGGCCATACCTAACGAAGTTCGTAGCTTAATACTTACTTATGACGTTATTAATGTTACTAGCTAAATTACTTGTATTCTGCCTGTTTTACAAGATTATTGTTTCCTGCATTACCAAATGTGTGACTGAGACTCACATAAAATTAATGATGATTAGGCCACTTGAAACAACTGACCAAATATATAGTTCTATAAGATCCATAACCATAATCGTGTAACTTCTTCTATATGGGAAGAGGGAACAACAAGAAGCGGGAACTGTTTCCTGGACAGTAACAGTAAGATAGGTGGCCCAGAGGCTTTTGGTTACTGTTAACAGAGCCTCGTCCAGTAATAGCACATTGAGTGGCCTATCAACAAAATCCTCACCTGACCTGGGAATTAGCATTCCTAGCCACATGGGACAAACTGGTCGAAATGCCTCCCAAACTTTGGCTGAAATTAAGACTGAAAAGGAAGGGATTGTAAAACAAAGACTGCTGCCCACCCTCCAGTTCTACAAGAATCAAATCACTAGCCACTGAGGCTATATACCCTGAAAGGAATAATACACCCTGAAAGGAATTTGGGGTGTGTGTTGGGGCAAGATCAGGATGAGGCACTCTGTGCTCTGGGAAAACTTGTCTTCAGATAGATATTTTCAGGAGAAAATTTTTATGAACCTGGATTCTTGCATCTTCCCATACTTAGAAAAGCACTAAAACCATTAACTTAGATGTCTGTCCCTCATGACCTGTGACCTTCTACCGAGATGTGCGCTTGATTGCACATACCCCCTTTGCCAAAATCACGTATATACTGGCTTCCCCCTTTATCTCTTCAGAACAGTCCTCAGAGCTCTCTGAGAGGCTGTCTCCCGGGCTATAATCCTCAGTTTGGCTTGAATAAAATTTTCCATCTCTTTCTTAATTTTCTGTCATTGACACCAACAACTAAGAGAAGTCTTAAATTAGGTTATTATACATAGTATTAATCTTTAAAATAGTTCCTATATTTCAAAGTAAGAAATACTCCAAAGTAAGAAATCCCTATTTGTATTAAGATGTCTATATATGAATTCTGGTAGACAAATTATGGAAGTAACCTAAATATCTAACAAACTAGAAATACTTAATGTAGTGTAATATTATAGTAATATTAAGAATAACTATATGGACTATGCTAGTTTAGAAAAGTCAACCAAAAAAATTGAGTGAACATACAGAAAACAAACATATATTAAATGCATTTCATTTAATTACATAAAGATTGTTCCCACACAAAAGGCCTAAAATAGCCATGGTCTTGTCATAACTCTTGTGAAATAGTTGTTTCTAAGTAAAAATACTTCCCTGGATTTTATGAACTTCAAACTTAAAAGTTCATTACAATTTTTATAAAGTACTTAGTTAAATATTTACCTTGGGGTCTTTCAGCTTATAGTACTTTACTGATGTCATAATAAGAATATGACATCAAAAAATATACAAGGGACTTTTTTCAAAACCTTTGTTAAGAGTTAATTTCTAAAGTAAAAACGAAGTTAAACCAACTCGAATCCTTTAATTCAGGAAGCTAGTTAAATGCTAATAAAATTCAACACCTGGCCTTTAGATCTAGTTAAGTCTTAATATTTAAACAGATCAGATTTCAGAAGTAAAGTTACCTTACTTTCAGTATATTGATGAATGTTTGCAAAACAGTGCTCTCCGAAGCAGCTATCTTAATATATTTCATTTTCTCGGTCCTACCTTCACGAGTAGCATGGTTTGAAAAACGGTTAACAACCAGAAACTAGACAGGTTATGTCACGGGTTCATTACAGGACATGGTTTTCAGGATATCAAGTCTGGAGCATCCGGGATAAAAATAGGCTACCTTAGCTGGGCAGGACGGTAGAAGAAAGGGTAGAGGCGGACGGTGCGGGACCCTCTTACCTCCAGTTTCTGTAATTCCCACACGCATAGGGGAACCGCAACCACTATGGACACCAGATAAATGACCACCGCTAAAGGTCGAATCCACTGTCTCCAGTTCCTCCAGGTACAAGTGCAAGGCATGCTTCCGCATAAATCAGCTCCGAGTAGCAAGGGAAAATAGCTCGAAGGAGATGGTAATGGGGTCTCTGTTCTTTGGCTGTTCTGTCGACTCGCATACTACGGAAAAACAGCCGTGGAGCGACTTCACCAGCTGGAACCGCCTCCTCGGCCCACGCTGTGCTTTCTGTTGCTGCTACTGCTGCTGCTGCCACAAACGCGGCGGCTCAGGGTACTACTGGGGAGCAGTGCGGTCAGCATTCTTTCTTCCCCACCTTGCATCTACCCAGTTCTTCCGCGGTGGAATCCCCGGCAGAGCCGCTGCTCTCACCTAAGAATCGCCCGGAGCTCCGCCTGCAGCATGGCCTCGAGGGGAGCGGCGCCGAGCCGGACCGGCCTGTAGAAACCCTGCAATCAGTTCGGTTCTGCCCCGCGGCTGCCTGCCCGCTCACTCTTTTCTTGGGCGGTGAAGTTCCCTCCCTCCCGCGCTCGCAGGCGTCTGCTCGGCCGATTCCGCTGATAGATAAGGGATGAAAACTTAAACCCACCAGCCCCAGGATTTCTTCACTGGTTCCCACGGGCCAGTCCCCCAAGGCGGAACCAAGGCCAAACCAGGGCTTCCGCTTCCGCCCCCGCTGTCTGAGGTTGGTGATTCGTGGACAGCGCCAAGATAGGCCCTCCCCATCCGGCTCACTTCCCACTCTCTGATTGGTCATTTTCCGGGGCGGGGCTGTTGGGACGGATACCAAGGGTACAAGGTTGGATGAAGTCGAGGTGTGTGGAAGTTGTGCCGTTGCTGCCGGGTGGCCAAGTGGCCAAGGAGGATTCTGCAAGCTGTATAGGTCGTTTGAGAACACATGAGGAGCTCCTGCTACATTGTTCTGCTGACTATATTCCAGCTTTAAGAAAGCCTGGGTAAGAGGCCATTACCTTAGAGCTGAACCTTTATCTGCACGAACATCTCCGATTCTCCCTGGGAGTGGATAGGGGAGTCAGCTGGACTAAGAAGACAGAAAAAAAAAAAAAAGGGAAACGTCCACCTAGTTTTGTGTCAGTTGCCAGAACCTAGGGATAGAGCCACTTAGTTATTTCGGGATTGTGCGGAAGGATCATTCTAGGGATAGCTTAATTTTAGAAGCAGTACTGCATTTGGAACTTTTTAAAAACTCGCATACATTTAAGTTTTAGAGAGTTGACATTACAACTGACAAAGAAATTTTATGTGCTTAAAGCTTTTAGCTGAACCGGAGCAAACAAATGGCAAATGGGATCTTAAAGCCTTCCTAAACCAATAGAGCAAACAAATATGTACCTCTCAATTAGATACACAAATATGTCCTGTTTCTGTCATTTTCTACGCGCTTTTCTTACAGTATATTAGTTGATGTACACAAAAATCCCCAAAGGTAGGCAGTTTTCCATGTTACAGGTGAGAAAACGGATTCAAGTGGTTAAGTAGTTTGCAAAGCTCATTGAGCTAGTTACTGGAAGAGCTGGGATTCTAACCTTGGTGTCTGACTCCAGCATTGGACCTGTCAGTACCTGCCACCTGAGAATTTCTGACTAATGACCATACATGGACAAGAAGGCTTGCAGTATTGAATACACCCAGACTAAGATTCTCACAGAAGCACTGAGGGAATGTTGTCTTCCCCGGGGTCCTAGCCAAAGTTTGGAGCTTGATAACATCTCCTTTTTAAAATTTGGCCTCTTTTAATACAAACTGATTTCTTAAAGGGAAATAGGCCTTTTGTTTGTTCTTTCTAAACTAAACTACAAAATTGAAGTCGTTATTTTAAAAAATTTCCTGATCATTAAATTAACACATACTCCATTGTTGAATTTCAAAAAATAGAAGAATAAAGAAGAGAAAAGTAACCCTTACTCTACAACCAAGTATATCCACTACTTACTTTTTTGGTACACAATATAGTCTTCCTTGGATATACTGCATACATAGATTGTCTCTGTGCTTTCAGCCACAGTCATTGCCATCTATAATAATCTTTCCCATTCTTTCTCATGGGCAAATCTTTTTCACGTAATTTGTGAAAACTTCCTTGATCCCCTGTCCCCCTCCCCCCGACCGGTAACCTTATGGCACTCACATGTTATAATAATTTACTTATTTGTCTATCTTTATTTATTTTTAAAATTATTTATTTTTGGCTGCGTTGGGTCTTCGTTGCTGCACGTGAGCTTTCTCTAGTTGCGGTGAGCGGGGGCTTCTCTTCATTGTGGTGCTCGGGCTTCTCACCGGTGGCTTCTCTTGTTGAGGAGTGCCGGCTCTAGGCATGCGGGCTTCAGTAGTTGTGGTGCGTGGGCTCGGTAGTTGTGGCACACTGGCTTAGTTGCTCCGCGGCACGTGGGTTCTTCCCAGACCAGGGCTCGAACCCATGTCCCCTGCATTGGCAGGCCGATTCTTAACCACTGGGCTGCCAGGGAAGTCCCTGTCTGTCTTTTAAATTGAGTTTCTAGGAGCAAGCCAAAGTTCTAGAACTATTAGAATAAAGCAAGGGAGGGAAGGGACCAGAATGTCAGATGCACAGGTGGTTTCCCACACCAGTGTGTGAACTGGGGTTCATTCATGATGAAGGTTCTACAGGTGAGCAGAGAAATGAGAAAAAAAAATACATAGTGAGTTTTTATTTGGTCAAACTTACTCATTCTAAAGGATTATGCTTTATTTTGAAATTGTCCATCCTATTTTTTTTTAATGTGATGATAGTTACAGAGTAGTTGTTTTCTAGATGTTCTTATTTTGGAAAATAAGAAGTTGGTAACTTTATTTGCTCCCATTTGTTTTATTCCTGAAATTGTTCTTGGTCCGTGAAACCCTAAAGTCTAGTAATCACTGAGGCAAGGATTGGCCGTTGATTTCAGTAGCCATAATGTTGGCATGATCCTGATCTACTTGCTTTACTTGCTCTAGGTGTTCTCTATATTCTCTCTTAGGATATGACTTAGCCTAAGTCTGAGGGTGGATCTGAGCTTTATCGTGTTTGAAAAATAAGAAATGGTCATAACTAGCAGATGGTACTGGGGTCAAAAGCAAGCTGTTAGTCATTCTTGATGCAATTTACATAGATAAAATGAAGTTTCTGTTTATTACTGTATCACATGAAAATAGGTAGGTGAAATTTTGCCACCCATGGAGGATATGTTTGGATTAGTCTGACTTAAAATAATAGTTAACAAAATTCGCTTTGAGGGATTGTGGGAGGTGGGCACTGTTAACCCCTTGGCATTTATTACCCTATCTCTCTACGGAAATATGTCTGTGATGGTTTTAAAATGTGGCTGCAACTTCTTTACTCTTCCCATAAAAATATATACTCTGTACCCCTTCCCCTTAAATCTGGGAAGGGTGTGACTGATTTGACCAATAGAGTACAGTGAAAGTGATCATCCTCACCATATGACCTTAGCGGCTAGGTCATAAAAGCCCATGCAACTCCACCTTATCTGTTGGAACAATTGCTTTTGGAACTCTCAGCCATTGTGTAAGAAGTCTAACTGTCTGAGGCTGGTGTGCTGTGAAAAGCCCAAGACACATCAGGAGGGCCCTTGAAGGTATGCTGAGTGACAGTCACAGCTGAGCCCAGCCCTCCAGTTAGCCCAGCCCAGGTGCCTGTCATGTGAGTGGAGAAGCCGACTCTAGCTTCCAGCCATTTGAGTCACCCATCAGCATTTTGAGTCTTCCAAGACAAGGTGCTAGACTTATGGACCAGAGGAAGCCATTCCAGCTCTGCCTTCTCCTGATTCCTGACCTGAAGAATCCATGAGCTCAAGAGAACTATAAGAAAGACACAAACTGGGAAAGAAATTTGGAAAAGACACATCTGTTAAAGGACTGGTATCCAAAATATACAAAGAACTCTTAAAACTCAACAACAAGGAAGCAAAAACATGATTTAAAAAGGGGACAAAGACCTTAACAGAACTCCCCTAAGAAGATATCCAGATGTCAAACAAGCATATGAAAAGATCCTCCACATGATATGTCATCAGGGAAATGCAAATTAAAATAACCATGACATACTGCTACACACCTGTTAGAATGGCCAGAATCGAAGACTGACAACACCAGATGCTGCTGAGGATTTCACCGGTGATTGAACTCTCACACGCTGCTGGTGGGAATGGGAAATGGCATAGCTGCTTTGGAAGACAGTCTGATGGTTTCTTACAAAATGAAACACTCTTACCATAGGATCCAACAATCGCACTTCTTATTGTTTACCCAAAGATAGTTTAAACCTTATGCCCACAAAAAAAATCTTCTGCACAGGGATGTTTATAGCACCTTTGTTCATAATTTCCCAAACTTGGAAGCAACCAAGATTAGATAATAAACAGTTTAATAAACAGTGGTACATTCAAACAATGGAGTATTATTCAGCGCTAAAAAAAATTGAGCTATCAAGCAATGAAAGGACATGGAGGAATCTTAAATTCATATTACTAAGTGAAAGAAGCCAATCTGGAGAGACTACACACTGTATGATTCCAACTATATGACGTTCTGGAAAAGGCAAAACTATGGAGACAATAAAAAGATCAGTGGTTGCCAGATGGGGGGAGGGGTAAGGCGAATAGGCAGAGCACAGAGGATTTTTAGGGCAGTGAAAATATTCTGTATGATATTATAATGATGAATGTATGTCATTATAATTTTGTCCAAACCCAAGAATGTACAACAACCAAGAGTGAACCCTAATGTAAACTGTGGACTTTGGGTGATTAGCTATGATCTTTGGGTGATTATGCTGTGTCAGTGTAGATTCATCCTTGATGAAAAATGTACCATTAAGGTGAATAATGCTGATAATGGGGGAGGCTGTGTGTGTGGGGCTCTCGGGGGTGGGGGGGATATGGGAATTCTTTGTACATTTCTGTCGATTTTGTTGTGAGCGTAAAAGTGCTCTAAAAAAATAAAGTAAAAAATATCCATGAGCATAATGAAAATGTTTTGTTTTTTTTTTTCTTTACTGGATCCTTCCTTTCCATGGTACCAGCCTGTTGAGCTTTATTTAGTATCTTCATTTTTTAAATGGGGACAAACATACCTGTCTTACCATTCATAGGACTGATTTGTGGGTTTAATGAGATATCATCAACATACTTTATAATCTACAAAGCATACATTTATATAATGATAGCTACTTTGTATTGAGCATCCTCAAATTCCACTACCCTACAATTCTAGGAATAGTAGTGGAAGCTTTACGTATATAATTAATAGTATCTCTTAATCCTCAACACAACCCCCCACTGTTGTTACCATTACATTCAATATATAAATCAGTTAATAATCAGCTCAAAGAGGTTGGTTGGATTGGTTTGCTAAGGTCAAACAAATAGAAAGGGGAAGAGAGGATTCAACTTAATATTACTTCCAAACAGAGGCCTTCCTTTCCTTTTAGCATACAGCTAGGAAAACATTTTATGTCCTTCAGAACAGCGGGTGTGATTAAGAAAAAGGGGAAATGGGGTTGGTGGAGGGTGCGTACGGGGTGGGGGAAGAACCACTGAATAACCTGCCGCTATAGCAAAGTTAACAAAGAAAACACCCTGATAAAACTTGTGCTTGCGTTTTACAACAGACCACCTGAAAATCCCTGGACTTCATAATACACTGGGTTTTTTATGTATCAAATACAAGGTGCAAAGTAAAAAATAGATGTTTTCGAAGCTAGAAGAGCCATCCATCCCCGCCAGATCCAAACTTAGTTATCACGCAAATACACAAATCAAAAATGACACGAAACAGGAAAAACAGGACTTCCTTTGCTTTCAGAAAAGCCAAGAAGCAAAGAAAACTCTTTTTAGAAATACAGAAAAAAAATTTTTTTCATAGTAGCTAATATGCCTTCCTTAGGCATTAAGACAAATTTCTGTTCATAACCTTGATACAGCCATATTTTTACTCTTTATAAAAATCAAGTCTCCCAGTAAAAATGGTATTTTACCACACTAATCTTTAAATTCCATCACTGAAAACGTAATACACAACAATTTCTAACCTCTTGGAACATTCTGCAAAGTGGATTTTAGTCACTGGAATGAACAATTGCTAGGAAAAGCAGCACTGCCTCAACTGTGGTACGATTTGGTAGTCAATATTCTTGTTTTCCAATAAAAAGGAGATCTCATAAGCAGAAACACTGGACTCCTTGTGGTTTCATCGATCGAGAGAACGTTTCTGAGCAGCTTCTGAGCAAACATTTCTTAACAGGTTGATCACAGATCTGGGGTCTTCACTCCTCATAATGGCACTGCCAGATACAATCATGTTAGCTTCTGCCTCTGCGCATTTATGGATGGTGTCAGGACCTACTCCACCATCAACCTCAATGTCCAAAGACGGGAACTGGGTCTTCAACCAGTGAACCTTTGGCATCATACCTTCCATGAATTTCTGCCCTTCAAATCCAAATTCCACTGTCATAACCAAGGCCATATCTATCTGATTAGCCCATGGTGCCAAATACTCAACTGTAGTTCCTGGTTTGATAGCAAGGCCAACCTTCATTCCATTCTCCCGAATGTCTTTGATCAAAGCCCCCGGGTTCTCAGTAGCCTCGAGATGAAAAGTATATTGATTGGCTTCTGCTACAGCCATTGGTTTTACCCACTGTTCCGGCCTGGACACCATCATGTGCATGTCAAAGAAAGGGTCCTGGCCTAGCTGCTTTCGGAGGCTTTCTACCACAGGGTGACCAAAGGTGACGTTGGGAACAAAATGCCCGTCCATTACATCCAGGTGCAGATAATCGGCTCCAGAGTCCAGCATCCGAAGGCACTCTGCCCCTAAACTGGCCAGTTCGCTGTTGAGGATGGAAAGGCCAATCCTGCAGCCGGACGCCATGGTGCTAGTTCTCTCTGAAAATGTTTTTTTTTACCTCACTGAGTTTAGGGTTGTTTGTTATGCATTTGTTCCAGTGAATGGATAACTGAAACAGTGTCTTGTGCCTATGTGTGTATATACTCTCTACCTAATCTGAAAGAAGCTTCCTGCTTAGAGTGATTTTTTTTTTTTTTTTTTGCTTAGAGCTGACTTTAAGCCTAGATAAATTGCCTCAAGCTTTTCTCCTTTAGGAATATGTTGCCTTCAGAGTCTGAGGTTGTGTCAACCAGTCAAAGAGTTCAGTGAGTTTTAGATTTAAATGTTGCAAGAATGCAGGGGAGAGCTCCTAGCAGATCTTAAACACTATGCTTAACTTTGTAAAGTGTAATCTTTTCTCCTACGCCCAAATGGAAGGAAAATTGTTTACTATGCACCAGATGAGTGGGGAAGAAGATAAAAGTGGTACAAGCTATAATATCAAACTTTCAAATTTGAACTTTGAGTATTTTCACCCATTAAGTTTCAGCTTTACCTACCACATCTTCAGGCTACATTTTAAGCTTTGTCGAAGATGCCATGGTTTATTGATCTCTCCCTCTCCTATACTTCTCTACATCTATAACAGATAAAGCTGTAGATTCCTGGGTGTATCACCATATCTCTATGTGTCTAGATGTCTTTATGTACAATCTACCTTGTCTTAAAGAGACTCAAGTATGTTTTGGTAGATAAATACTGTAGTTGCATGTATAAGTTTTGGTAAATGTAATAAGTATATTAAATGTGAAACTCTAACATGTTCATGTTAAAATAGAAATAAATTGTAATTTAAAAAATTATTTTATGTCATTTTGTTTATTGGGTCTGATGATTCAGAGCAAGCTATGGCCTGCAACACAGGTGTGGTCCACAGTCTGTTTCTGTATGGCCCATGAGCTAAGAACGGTTTTTTACATTTCTTTTTTTATTGTGGTAAAATACACATAACAGAAAATATACCATTTTGCCAATTTATGTGGTTAAAATTCAATGGCATTAAGTACATTAACATCGTTGTGCAACTATCACCACTTTCCATCTCTGGAACTTTTTCATCATCCAACTGAAAACTCTGTACTCATTAAACACTAACTCTCTATTACCCTTTCCCCCCAAGTCCCTGGTAACCACTATTCTGCTTTCTGTCTCTATGAATTTGCCTATTCTAGGTACTCTATATAAGTGGAGGCATAGAATATTTGTCCTTTATTTGTCTGGCTTATTTCACTTAGCATAATATTTTCAGGGTTCATCCGTGTTGTAGGCATGTATCAGGATTTCCTTCTTGTTTAAGGCTGAATTGTATTCCATTGAATGTGTAAACCACATTTTGTTTATCCATTCATCTGTCGATGGACAGTTGGGTTGTTTCCATCTTTTGCCTATTTCAAATAATGCTGCTGTGAACATTGGTTTCCACCTTTTGCTTATTGTGAATAATGCTTCTATGAACATAGTTGTATGTACCTGGAGGAGGAGGTATGGATGTGATCCTCCTCTATTGCTGTTGACCTTGACCAGAGCACTCTCCTTCCTGTCCCCTAATGGTGTCCAATGCTGCTATATACACTGGTGTACAGGGGAAATGGGGAATTGTTAATTCAGCAGGGATAGAGTTTCAGCTTTGTAAGACGTGGAGAGATCTGGAGATTGGTCGGTGACAATGTAAATGTACTCACTTCTTTTTGGCTTTTACATTTTTAGAGTTGTAAAAAAAAATTAAAAGAGTATTTTAAAATATTTACTATCGGGCCTTTTATAGAAAAAGTCTGCCAACCCCTAATTTAGAGTAAATGTTTAAAATTTTATAATGGGCTATTATAAAGTTGCTAAATGAATCTCAGTATACAGTTCCCTCATTTCTTTTTCTTTCTTTCTTTCTTTTTTTTAAAAATTTTTGGCCACACCAAGTGCCTTGTGGGATCTTAGTTCCCTGACTAGGGATGGAACCTGTGCCCTCAGCAGTGAAAGCATGGAGTCCTAATCACTGGACCACCAGGGAATTCCCAAGTTCCCTCATTTCTTCACTAGGAATGTATTTAAATTTCAGCAGACTTTCCCACACTAAGTATTTGGGGAACTCTAGTTCCATCCCAAAATCAACATTGAAAATCTCGGTTTTGTTTTTGTTATTAAGATTTACTGATTTAAAAGCAAGATTCACTGATTTTTTAATACAGGGATCCTGTAGTAAATTCAGAATAACAGGGCACAAGAGTTCTTTTCTTTAGAGCCAGGTTCACATGAATGAAAAGGCCCCACCATGTATATTAACTATGTAGAAACTGGAGATGCTGTCATTTCCACTTTTAATGTGCTTTTCTGATTCTCCTCTGAGCAGTCTCTCAATGTCCTTTGAACCTTAGCTTGTCCCTAAGGCAGAGATTCCCCAACTTTGTTTCACGGCACCCTTAGAATCTCAGTAAGTTTTTCATGGCATCCTTAGGCCAAAGAAATTTCTAATAGTTCCATTTAGTAAGTAATTAAGTCCAAACAACCTAATTGTAAACATTCATATAATGTCTGACAGATGTTTCTGTGTTTCTCTGAAAAATTTAAACTATCCAATCCATGCGGCCTCTGAATCCACTCCAGCGCTCTGTGGCCCCTCAGCACACAATTTGGAAATTGCAGTCCTAGGGCCTCATGCCTGCGTTTCTGACTTGGACTAGCCTTTGTCCTTGGCTTTGCTTCTTGTTTTCAGATCCTACTCCCCACAATTCCAGGGCTTGCCTAACAATTTATTTTTTATTTACTTATTTTGCCTAACAACTTCTGATGGCTTTCTTTGCTTAACATTTAATTTTCACATCCTTGATTCGGGTCTATTCCCTCAGTGCATTAACTTTTTTTAAAAATTTAATTTAATTTAATTTATCTTTTGGCTGCATTGCGTCTTTGTTGCTGTGCGCAGGCCCTCTCCAGTTGCAGCAAGTGGGGGCCACTCCTCGCTGCGGTGCGTGGGCTTCTCATTGCGGTGGCTTCTCTTGTTGCGGAGCACGGGCTCTAGGTGCACAGGCTTCAGTAGTTGCGGCTCGCGGGCCCTAGAGCACGCAGGCTTCAGTAGTTATGGCTCGCAGGCTCTAGAGCGCAGGCTCAGTAGTTGTGGCGCATGGGCTTAGCCGCTCCACGGAATGTGGGATCCTCCTGGACCAGGGACCGAACCCGTGTCCCCTGCATTGGCAGGTGTATTCCCAACCACTGCCCCACCAGGGAAGTCCCAGTACATTAACTTTTATATTGGATTTTCTTAATAAAGTCTCTTTATTTAAACTACTGAAATAGTTAAATAAATAGAACATTTGCCCTCCTCTTCAAAAGTGTGTTATTGGCATTACTGGATTAATGACTATCAGGATCCCCAATTACCTCACAAGAAAGGTGATAAAGTATCTTAAGCCACCTGTAATTCTTGGTAGTGTATGTTATCCTTTGTCACTCGAGTGAAGAGGATCCTGTGAAAGGTGCAAGCGACTCGCATAGTAAATAATAAATTACCTTTTCTATAAATTATTACTCAGTGGATGAACTTTCCAGTAACTCCGATGAGGAAGTTTTTTTTTAATTGATATTTTATTTTCAGACTGATTTAAGATACTTCTGGCATATCAATTTACAGGCTAAAAGGAATATGAAAAACCTTAATAATTGTAACAGATTCAAAACTAGATAATTCAGGAGACTTGGGAGAGAAGGTATTTCTGGTTAGGAAGAAGATTCTGTGCATTATCTGTTAGGATGATCTGTGCACTGAGAAAGGAAACTATTTTTATACTGAGACAAATTCTTTTAGGATTTAAACAAAAATCACTGTGTCATTTAGTGTACTTTAGATGCTAGACTGTGGTGATCCCCACAGAAAGAAGGCTTGACTTACATGAAGTAAGGAGAATTCATGGGAGGATTTCGCCCCAGTGTGGAGGAAGTTTTCTCTTTCACATGTGAGCAGAGCTCTCTATGGAGCTTGAGTTTTACCTCTTACTTTTCTCATGTATTTTAGGCTGTCAGTTGCCCTGTGTAAACTCATGAGCACATGTCCTACTTGGTTTTATGTGGGTCAGATCTGGGGGTGGAGTGAGAATTGATTCCTCTCTCGCCCCGTAGAGTGATATTCTGTGCATGCAAAGCTCTGATTGGAGCCCACCAGGCTTTACTTTGTAGATGTAGAACTAGACTTTTTTTTTTTTTAACTCCTTGGGTGTGAATCGTATGATTTGTGCTTTCCCAATTTTCTCATTTGGGAAAGGAGAGGAAAACAGGTGAGCAGTGTCTTTGTTTTTCCCCTTCCTCCTTGACACTCTCCCTAGGAGGGTCTCTAAGTCAGGATATAAGAATCAGGCAAGTGCCCCAGAACTAAGTTTTTTAACTCTCCTTATTCTCAGGAACCCTGGGTTTGTGATCAGTGATCCCAGGAAGGAAGACTTAAGTAGAAAAATACCTTGCCTAATGTATTTTCTTTTTTCTTTTTCTTTTTTGGCTGTGCCTTGTGACTTGTGGGATCTAAGTTCCCCAACCAGGGATTGAACCCGGGCCATTGGCAGTGAGCACGGAGTCCTAACCACTGGACCGCCAGGGAATTCCCACCTGATGTATTTTCTGTTGCTACCGTAAGAAATGACCAGAATGTTAGTGGCTGACATAGAAACACATGGCTTCAGGATGGTGGGCCACTGAGCTGGGAGTTCTTGGACTGTTAATATCTGTGAAGGGTCTGAGATTTGTACCGTATTTGCAAGCTAACAGGTTAGCCTGCCACAGTTTCATGGATGCTGACAAGACATGAGACATTTGGGTCAGAGGCAAAAGACTTTTCTACTAACAGCACAGCAGGCAGTAAAAGCTTCGTGTTTGCATTGGTTCCTCTTGCCTCCCAAGTCCTGTGGGGCGAGGTGGAGAGACCCAGGTGTATGCTGTGTAGGAAGGAGTTTGCACCACAGCCGAGCAACTCTGAGCTTAGAAAACCCTGTCTTTTATAATGACCTGAGAGTAA